AAATTCCTGGATTTTTCGTTCGCCCGGCTTCGAACCCGAGTCCCTCAGAGCTATAGGTTGACTCCTTTAACTGCCTCTGCTTTCTCGGCTTCTTCGATAGCAATTTATCAATTTAAAAAAAAAAAATAATAAATTAATGATGAAGTCGTAACTAATACAGTAGAGCGTCGATTTTCCGAAAGTCAATCATCCGAAAGAATTTCAGTCGGAAAATTTAAATTTTCGCCAGTGCTGTGCCGCTTCAATCTTTGGCTATGTCTTGGGCTACTCAAATATTTTACGTTTTTGATACTAAATTAACATCTGAAGTATAATTTTTTAGTATTTTTATATTTTTACATATATTTATTTTGTTTGCACAAAATAAAAAAATAATTTTTAACGATACAATAGTCTTTGTTAGGCTTAACATCGACGAAAATTCAACGCGAAGAGACACGCAACGGAGAAAAATTTCGACATTGGATACGTTAAACTATTTTTTCGTACGTAAATCAGTTATCCGAAATATCAGTTATCCGGACAACCCCAGTCCCCAATTGATTCGGAAAATCGACGCTCTACCGTATTTGCCTTTTTTTTCTGTCGGTTATGCTGTATATACGAATAGAATAGGTAAATACAGTAAATGAAAATGGAAATTTCCGAAATGTTTTTTTATAAACTCTAAATTTTTAATAAAATATTTTACAATCAATGTAGAATATTTATTTACATGAATTTATGTAGGTTATTAATATACGTTTCTCGTGCCAAATTTAATAAGATTCAATTTAAGAAGACGGCTGAATAGTCGAAGAGGTTTATCCTTCAGCCTGTTGTTCTTACGGCGTGAATTCGAGTTTGATTCTAATCTAAGAAATTTATTAAAAATTCAGGGTTCCATCTCTCATCCCTTTCGCCGCATCGCAGACATGGCCACTTTCATGACAGATATGAAAAAAGAACGGTGTTGCAGGACAGAAAGAATCAAATTTGAAGGCGTGTCCGCAAACAAGGACGGATTCACGGAGGCTTCAGGTGTTAAGTCCTCCCCATCCGCAATATAATCGTCTTACATGCGTTAATAAAGGATACTTATAATTATTCAAATATTTTTAAATTTTCAGTTAGTCCCCTCTGGATCCCCCACTGCTCGCTGGGCGAAAAGCATTCAGAATTGTCTTTATATTTACCTCATTTCAGAACTTTTTCGTCAAAACATAGACACGTGTTTTGATTTTTCAAAACAAAAAAGAAATAGTTAATTTATAATTGAAAATATAACGAATGCCAAATACAGTACTTCGTTTTATTATTTTATAAAATTCTTACAGGGTGTATATGATTAATTTCCATATACGGAGTAGTCTGTAGCTGTAACCAATAAGCGAATCGATACCAAAATATATATACAGATGATGCAAAGAATTTTCAAAAACAAAATTTAGTTCAAAAACTCTCGCTAGAGACGATTTACATTGAAAATACACGAAACAAAACAAAAACAACGAAAACGCTTTTAAGGAACACTCCTTCTGCAGAGGCTATTTACCGAGGTAAAGAATATTACTTAATGCGTGCCTCATTGTTTAGGTGTAAAATTTGAAGGTTATGAACAGCGTGTTCGCAACTTCTCTCCAGTTACGCTTTGCACGTGCAAAATGTTCTCTAAAGTTGCAACATTTCCCTAATAAGCCACATTCTTTAAATTATCCCACAACCAAAAATCACATCGGATTCAGATCCGGAGAATGTAGTGGCCAGGCAATTAGAAACGAATGACTAATCTGTAAAATGTCGGCGCAAAACCTGCTGTACGTTACATCCAATATGGAAGCGCAACATCCCGCATAAATGTTGCAGACTGAAGATCACGGATTAGGATACGACACTTCGGCAGATTTGTTAACTCTCTTTCCTGTCACTACGAGGGTGCGCCGATTTTAGATTCAATATGGCGACTGGAGGAAATCTTTGTCGTTCTGCAGTTTTTTGTAAAAAGTATAAAAAGAAAACTTCTTATTTGTCAATTTTTTACGTTTCCAAAAGATGTAAAATTTACTGTTTATTTACGTATTTAATTTTTAAATATAAATTACTTATTCACTTAAACGATTTATAATAAAATCGTTGGTGCTTTAACTCAATTTTTTACAATAAACTTTATAAGTTTAGAAAATCTTCATTACTTCTGCTGCTAATATACAATATATACTGTATATAAATTTATCAGTTGATTATAAATAAACTGTTAAATGACACATTATATACTATCAGATATGTCATTAGTTGCAGCAAGTGCATTGGAAGATCATCAAAAATAAGAGATGTAATGATATTTTGCAATGGATCTAACGACTTAACGGAGCCTCTGTCAATCAATAAAAATAATAATAAGAAAAAAAAATAAACACTAAAGTTTTAATTTTTATTAAGGATTCAAAAATTTATTTTATTTTTAAATCCACAAAGAATTTTAATATCGCATATCTCACGTAATTTTTCTAGTTGATGAATGTAATGAAAGTATGGACATTTGATGGATGGAGATGAGTATTACTTTCCGATCTTTGTACTAGAATATATAATTTTTATTCTTTATTTTCATGTAAAAGATATCGTGGCTCAGTACTAATCCGTAATCCAACGTATATAATTATTAAATATGTCTGGAGAATATAGAATTACGTACATATATATATTCGCTAGCAGACAATCTACGGTGACGGGTTTTCATGAGTTTATTATCATTTTGACAGCATTTAAATTTTTTTTTGCCTTGTTATTAACGAAGAAAATCGTGTATACAATTCTTAAATTTTCAAGAAAATGTTTTAATTATTATATTCTTAATTATATTAATTTTTGAAGCATGGTTACTTAGACTTTAATTTCGGTTTACAAACTATCGTAAGATAAATTAAAATTAAATTAAAATTGGCATATAAACGAAGCGTGTAATTTGCAATTATGGATTAAAGGTAATTAATAGTTATAAGAGGTTTAAATATAGTTTGTTGAGAAGTTAACAGATAAAAATAAGAAAATTTCCACTTCGTACCGTTAGAAAAAATGTGATATTTGATGCTGATAAAACACTTTTTTATCGCTCTGATTACCTGTTTTTTTTAATACAGGATTTTTTCCTTATATTTTTGAAAATATCCAGAAACAAATTCACTTAATTAATTTTTCTAAGTGTTTTTATATTCTCTACACACTTATCAAATGACAAAACATTTTAAATAATAATATAAAAATTAATATTTCATCCCTATGATTTTAAATAAATGAATTTAAATTTCATACTACATAAAAAATAATTTACAAGAAAATAAGCTTGAAAAATAAAAAAAAATAATTAATAAGTAATATATTTATAAGATTAATTTTATAATTTAAAATAAAAGAAAATTTAATTTTTTTCCTACTGAAATCATAAAAATTTAATTTAGAAAAAATCCTCAAAGAAAATCAACTAAGAAAAAAATTATTGTTGTTATTATTTAGAGAAATTTATAACTTTTTCCTCTCTTAAAAGTTTTTCCTCATCACTTTAAATTGTTTTGAGAATAGAAAAAAATTGAGAAATAAAAAATTCTGAAGAAGCTTTACATTTAGAAATTTATAAATTAAATCTCTAATCCACAAAATAATTCTCTAATAAAATCCTAAACTTAATTATTAAATCAATTTTAAAAACAAGGGAAAATCTGGAAAAAAATAATAATAAATAAATAAGAAAATATATGACAACTGTACTATAATTTTTAAATAGGGAATTTTGTTAGGGAAAAAATAGGGAATAAAATAGGGAATTAAATTTATTAATCCTCACTAAACTTAATTCACTACTAATATTGTTTATATTATATTAATATAATAAAATAAATATAAGACATATAAAAATATTTTAATATATTATATAATAATTATTTATAA